CTATGTATGCACGCTAGTCACAGTAGCCAATGATCTACATTCAACAATATCGTCTTTTCAAAGCAACACTATACGCCATTTCTTGCAGTTTATGTACTTCACCTTTTGCCATGAAAACTTCGCACGAAAACTTCACTGCCAACTGCAAATGCCGATGAATGAACTTATCGATTTGCGAATAGGCGCTGTTAGGACGACTACTCAAATGTCTGCGCTGTCGACTTGCATTCGAAAAGTTGGCAATGGCTTGACTGGCGTCAGTGGGACATGCTTTTTGAACTTTACACAAGCAGGTAGTTTAGATTGAAATTTGAAGGAACAACGCTGAATAGAATGTCAGCAACTATGTAATTGGTTTTTTAATCGAATTCAACAACTTACATACATACATAGATACCTGGAGGCTAAAAACGCGAGCATTGGCAATGCATTTGAATGTTCATAGGTACATACTTACATATACATGTGTGCGGCAGCATGTAGATATGGATGTATGTTGTGTAACCGCATCCAAATGCACAATAGAATGCCTGAAAGTCATCTGTGTCAGAGCCGCGACATTAGGTGGTCGTGTCCTTTCTACAGTACTGTGGGTTCAATGCACAAAAGCGCTATGTATTATGTATGGCTTTGGCAATCAAGCAAACCCAAATTCGCAGCTGCTGTAAGCATTTCATTCTCGTGTTAGTGCTGGTTTAAGCAAGAAAACGTATGCGAGTGATGCACTTGTACTAAGATTGCTGCTACTTACATACATACATACATACATACTTGCCTTTTGCTATCTGAGACCTGAATATTTTGTCATTTCCTTCACAATGAATGTTGACATCTGCTGTTGCTCAAATTGGATATGCGTGACACGTCGCGTGGACATGATTTTGTTGTAAGTCAGTGTATATGTGCGTTTGAATATGTTTGCACTTTAGGGTGGGACACTTTAAGTCGCATTTTTATAGACGGCGTGCACTTAATCCAGAAATTAAACTAAAATTATAATAATTTATTTTCTTCCAAATATAACCCAAGTATGATTTGCATCCACAGAGCAACCCGAACTATATCAAATGACTTCTTAAATCTTGTGTTCGATCTTGGGTTCCGAACAGAAATTTCTCTTTGGTGATTCCAAGTGGGAGGAGTGGGTGGAAATCTAGTGCACTCCCCCTCGTTGTATCGAAATTTTTGCAGGTGGTTCTAGCAAAAAAAGATAATCTATATTTTGTTTTTGCATGGATCCGCGCGATCCCGTCTAATGAAGTATAATTCGTAAATGTTGTGCATCAATCAGTTAATTACGTATTATGATTTTAAAGTATTCTTATCAACAAAATTTCGCAATCACTATGCACATTACTTTATTAGGACCTGATTGCTAATCATTTGATCTCTTCACCCAGCTTTACAAGTTGTATAATGCATAGATGAAAATAACTTTTGGAAACGTATTGTGCATACTAAGTAACTGAAGTGTTTTTAATTTGTATTATTTCCTTTTTTTATATAAGCGAA